ATGAGAAAATGAAAAAATGGAAACAAAGTCTTTGTAAATAGGGAGGGATGGAGGGGTTGAAGGAAGGGCAGGGGAAGGGGGAAAAAATAAGAACCAAGAGAGTATGCAAAGGTGCAAATTTCCAATGATGAATGTCATATTGTGCACCTAAAATGTACCAATAAAAGGATATACAAAAAAACCCCAACAAACCTGTTTTTCTTATTTTTGTAACCATAGCACCCAGCATGTATCAGGTTTGTACTATTACAATTCTTTAGTTATCTATATTTTATAATGCTTTTTTTTTTTTTTGGTACCGGGGATGGAACTCGGGTCCTTGCACTTGCGAGGCACGCGGCGGAACCACTGAGCTAAATCCCCAGGCGTAGTTACCTATATTTTAATATATTTCTGAAAATATTTTGTAAAATTGTATAAAGTCCTCCAAGAGATGAAAAAGGTAGAAACAACAAAAAAGAGGAAGGAAAATAACAGAATTTCCCAAAACAACAGAATTTCTGCACAGCAAAATGTGATGGCAGGGGCTATGAACCTCTTATTTAATTCTGTATGGAGAGATAACAAAACTAACAGAAGCTGGTGGCAACAGCAACACATTTAGGTCAGAACTAAGACAATACAGAAACTCCTCAGTTTACAAAGAGCTCATGTCCTGATAAAACCAACAAAAACTGAAAATACTGTTGATTTTAAAGGTGCATTTAATATATCTAACCTATCAAACATCCTGACTTAGCAACATAGTAGGGTGTAGAGGATCAGTTGTTTCCTCTCATGATCCTGAGGCTAACTGGGAGCTATGGCTCACTGCCTCTGCCAGGTATCCTGAGAGAGGAGGGCACTAAAACTCACAATCCAGGAAAAGAAATGAATTCCGAATTCAAAGTACAGTTCTAATTGAATGTGTATCACTTTTACACCATCATAGAGTCCCAAAATCCTAAATCAAACTATGATATGCTGGGAACTGTCTGCATAAGATATAACTGTAATTAGGCCAAAACAGGTCCTACCTTTGGAGTCAATGTTAATTCCAGACAAAATAAATACCAATACAGTACATAATACAACAGACAAACCAACATTCTGAAGATGTAACTATACCTGCTTCTGGTCCCTGGAACTACAACTGCACCACTCTCTTCGTTCTTTCTCTGTAAAAATGTTGCAAATTTATTTCTTGTCCTAGGTGGTGTATTTAAGCTTTCTGTGTGAATAGTTCCATTTCTCAGATCAGGCACAAACATTTCAGAAGAGTTCAATGATTTATTATTTTCACAGCCATTTTTCTTGGTCTTCTTTGCAAATGAAAAGTACTGATTCAACAGATCATCTTCTGATAGCTCTTCTAAATAAAAACAAAATTACCAGTAAATCTTTGTTTTACCTATAGTTGGGGATCTGCCTTTGATTTCAAACTATATTCCACTCTTAAAGGCAAAGATTTACTTAATTTTAACTGTGCCTCACAAAAGGAAATGTAAAGATGATTCAAAAATAATTTCCCTAGCCATTTTAAAATTTCACAAATTGCCAGGCATGGTGGAACATGCCTGTAATGCCAGTACTTGGGAGGCTGAGGCAGGAGGAAAGTTACATGTTGGAGGCCAGCCTGGGCTATATAGTGAGTTCAAGGCCTGCCTGCACTACATGGTGAGACCCTATCTCAAAAAATAAGAAAGAAGAAAACATTCACAAATTAAGATTTAATGTCAATTATAGGAGTAATTTATCTATTACATATACGTGTTCTGGTTGTTGAACCAGACACCATGTAACCATGTAGCTGAAAGTAATTCGAATGTCCTAGCTCTGATCCTCACACTAGACTAACTTCATCTTGTTTGAAGGTTTAGTCCAGCTCTTTAGGAGAATCCCATTAATTAAGCTTTTATTTTGAATGCAGAAAGAACCCTCAGTGTCTCTCATACTATCCTAGTGGACAGTGTAAAGCAATACCTATTGTATACTAGTAATGCGGATTTGCAACAAGTTGTACAGCCCAAGAGACTATTGTTGATTGTTGTTTTGAAAAGAAGCCTGTCTCATGTGCTCTCGATTTCTGTACTTGCTCTAATTAAATTATACATGATGCAGCCAAACCTACTGTAACCAAAACTTTGAGACATAGGGTGTCATATTTATCTGATTTCCAAATGACTTATATTAGAAATTAATACAAAGATTCAAAAAAGAAATGTACTGGTACTCAGCAGCAATTAGCAGAGTATGATTAGAAATGCACCAAACACCAGCAAAAAACCAAGAATGCTAACACAGTAAAAGCTAAAGCAATCTTAGTTTGCAATAGTAAAGCACCATCCTAGATGAGGGACTGAAGGTGTGCCACACTGTGAATATTTACTGCATCTTATGGTAAACGGACTTCACTTTAAGAATCATACAGACTCACTCTAAGAATCACACAATTACTAAAAAATGGTATTATATCCAAAGGACTACCTCAACGGATGAGGGACTTGTTAGCTGGGGGAGAAATTTAGAAGGGTTACAACTACTACCCCTAAGTATCTGAAAGGCTGCCATAAGAAATATGGACTAGCTCCAGTATTTCTGGCTTGTGGGCCTGTATGTGTATACACACATGCATACCTTGGTGACTCTACATGGCTAGGTGCTGGTCATATGGAAGCAAACTTAGTTTGACAAAGGAAACTTACCGGTAATGAGTCATCTACATAAAATGAACTATCTGGATGGTAGTGGGAGAAAAGTAAGGAACTAATATGTATAGTATACTTGCTATGTACAAGGTGCTTTTATATGCTATCTTACACAACACACATAAAAACTTGTGAAATAGGAACATCAACCCCATTTCATATGAATAAACAAAGGTTCAGACATATTTTCATGAAAAAGATTCTGGTTCATAAGGAATTAGAACATTTTGGCCAAATCTGTATCTGGTTAAAAAAATAAAAGTATGAATTCAAATTTTACAAAGGGCTTTGCTTTATTTTTGCTGCTAATATTTCATTCATTGATGTAGTTATCCGAGGGAAGAAAATAAAAGAAAAAGGAGACAATAATTAATTATTGTACTTCTAAGACAAGAAAACTCCACTTCTTAAAGCCTGGTGCTCAGTTCTCAGTAGTTCTGTTCAGTGTTTTACTGGAGGTTCTAACAACAAAAAGATAAAAAAGGGGCTTACTGGAAAAGGAGAGGCAAAGATGCCTTTACTTATAAGTACTGTGATCTACGTAGAAAATCCTAGAGTCTTTAAAAGAGATACTAAAACTAATGTAGTTTTATATAAAATTAACACAAAAATCAATTGTATTTCTATAAACCAGTAATGAACTAGAAATAGAAATAAACGACAGTAGAAAAGCAACCCTAAATATAACGATGAATTTGGTAACTGATGGGCAAGATCTGTCCACTGAAAATGAGAGCATTAAAGGTTTAAACATCAGAAAACTCAGTATTAAGAAGCTAAATCTCTCCAAATTGATCTATAGATTCAATTAAAAAATCCCCATAACCTTTTTTTGTTTTTAAAGAAACTGATAAGCTAATTCTTACACTTAAATGGAAATAGGAAGAACATAGACTAGGCAAATAACTTTTCAAGAGAAGAACTCAGCAGACTTACACTGATTTCAAGGTGTACTATAAAGCTAAAGTAGAGTAAGAGTTCATGAAAGACTCACATATAGTCAACCGATTTTGCCCAACTGTATAAAGGCAATTAAATGGGGAGAGGAAAACTTACAACAATTGGGATTGGAACAACCAAACCAATGTATAAGGAATCTTGATCCTTATCTCACATCATGTAAAAAAAATTAAAATGACCACAGATCTAAATCTAAGAGCTAAAACCATAAACAGGAAAAAATATTTAAGACCTTGCTAAACTCTTAAGTATGACCAATACTTGCTGGTATCTTGCCAAAATGAAATACATACCACTTCTTGGTCTTTTCACCAAGGATGACTTCCTTGGAAGATTTAACCCTTTAGTACTAATCACTTGTTTCATGCCCACCGTACTTGGCTTTTCTTCCAACCGTGTAACATCTGAAACAATATTCATTTCAAGTGTAGGGCGATAATTCCTATGCCAAATGCTGTTAACAGCAGGTGACTTTTGACATGCTTTGTCATCCCAACTATGACTTCTTAGGAGGGAAGGCTAAAAAGGGAAAAGGAAAAAGGTTACTTGAAAGAGGAAAATAATTGATTCATTTCCCTTTATATGAATATGAATCACTATATGTTAAATTACCCTTAAATACCTGTCCTTTATGGGCCAGGGGTTTAGCTCAATGGTTCCACTGCCTACCTCGCAAGTGCAAGGTCCCATGTTTGATCCTCAATACCAAAAAAAAAAAAAAAAAATCTGTCCTTCAATATTTTCTACTTTGCTAGTTTTATCTTCCCAAATAAATGTACCTTGTGTTCCTTACGTGTGTTTCTTCTCTAAGAAGAGTCAAGCCACCTGGTTGGCTCATTTCCAAGAAAAAAAAAAGATTCCCAAGATGAACAGTGCAAAAATAAGTTTGGAACTGAAGAAATGTGGGCAGGAAAAAAGCATCTTTGAAATGTATTGTTTCAATATTAATTAGTTAAAAAATCACCTGGCAATTTGCCTTCAAATAGTCATTTAAATATCTTAAAAAATTCACCTGGCAGTTAAATTATATATTTAAGGTACTCTCAAGTATCTCTAAAAATTGGAAATTGGATGAATTCAAATCAAAACATTCTAGGCTATAAAATACTGGTTTCTATTAGACCCAGACCTGGTACCATCTTTAAAACACAATATGTACTGAAAAACAGAGAGCTATTTTGGTCTCACTGAGTACAAAACTTTCTCAGAACACATGAAGAAAACAGAATAGGATTCAAAGGCACATAGCAGGGCTGTTCATTAGATATTTGCTAAATAATGAATAAGTAAAAATAGAGCTTGTGCTTTCAAGGGTAATGTTTCTAGGTTTGGGTTTTGAACTATGTCCTGTATCAAAGATGCTGAATAGGGTGAGATGAGAAAAAAAGGCATCATATGCTTGGTACATTCATATGAAATGCTCAAGACTGAAGGTTTGATAGTATGTAATGTCATTTCTTTAATGTTACCATAGCTGTGTCTGGATTGTAGTCATCAATCTGTTCAAAAGTATTTATATCTTTATTTCCAAGTGCTATTTGAAGAGCTATAGAGTCATCAATGTATCTAGGTTTATAAGATTAAGGAAAAATGTCTTTATTTATTTATTTTTTGGTACTAGGGATAGAACTAGGGACCTTGTGCTTGCGAGGCAGGTGGCGGAACCACTGAGCTAAATTCCTGGCCCCAAAAATATCTTTATTAACAACCAATCAAATGATGCTGTTCTAAGATCAGAAAACACTGTCTATTGTCATCAATTCTTCTTGAAGGTTTATGACTTAAATGGATCCTACTTCCTTTCCACATCACTGTTACTGAATCACAGGCATAGTCTGCTGGTCTCTACTTGTCCCTGCAGGAGTTGGTCATCCTGCAAAGCCCTGCATCACCATTTACCCTCCCTCTCAAGGGACACTGGAGAAAAAGTCTTGGCTATGACCTAAATAGCAGGGTCTTGCACCAGCTTGAGTGCTAGTGGCCAGTGGCCATGGGAAGGGCATCCTCTCATGGTGCATTCCCACGTCCAGAAAGGCCCTACTGCTAAGCTGAGCCACAAGGACTTCTCACAAATGCTACTTTTGGAATGTGTATCACAAGCAACTGACCCGGTGCCTGTTCCTGTTGGGTCAATCCAAGTAATTACATGCTACAGCAGATGACCCTCAGGCTTACAAAAATAGACTTGTTTGAAATTTTTGGGAATTAAAATGAACAAAAAGGATACTGTCCAGCATAGGTTAGTGTTTCAGGATCAATGTCATCTTCATAGGCATTCAGGGGGACAAGTTTCCTTTTGATGGGATCAAAAACTAGTTGATAAAGAAAAGTATTGTTGGCTCGAATGAATCCTTTGATGTAATCCTCCGGCACTGTTATATTCATCTTGAGATAATGCCCGATTTTCTTGATAACCTAAAAATGGATGCAAAAATTTTTATCTGCAACTAAAGAAGAGGGAATTAAACAATAGAATTCCTAAAACAGACTGATTTACATTAGAAGAGGAAGAAAGAGGACTGAAATATTAATTACTTTCATCTAGATTAAAAAACTGTAGTAGCAAACACAACCTTGTCAGATCACTTAAGATTCTAATTCTCATAACTAATATTTTCTTGGTTTTTCTATTATTAACCCAATTCAGTTATACATCAAATTTATGTTCCTAGGCATAACTTCAAGATGTTATTCTCAAAGTTCATTTTATCCAGAAAACAAAAAACAACATGAAACTTGAGAAGAACTCAAATATTCTTAGATCATATTTGTAAAATTAAATCCACATTCTAACTTCTGCTGGCCATGGATACTAAAGGTATCTTAAATATTACAGTTATGTACTACATAATGATGCTTCTGTCAACAACAGACTGCATATACAAATGTAGTGACTTAAGATTATATCACTCAGTGACATCATAACCGTCTTAGCTTGTCTAAATATACCCAACCAGGTCTGCACAATGACAAAATTGCCTAAGGACACATTTCTTAGAAATGGTCCTCATTATTAAGCAATGGATGACTGCTTTTTTAAGCTCACAGATGAAAAGACCTATGATGAAAATCACGGAGTCACAGGCTAGCTAGGGATGTTTCTCTAATCCCAGAGAAGACATCATCTTCCAACCCAGGGATCTTTCCACAGTATCACACCACTTGCATCCTGAGAACTCACTTTGTACTCCTGGAAAATGGGATTTCTACTCTGCAAACTCCAAGGAGGGACCGGGGATTTAGCTCAGTGGTTCTGTCGCCTGCCTTGCAAGCTCAAGGTCCCGAGTTCAATCCCCAGTACCAAAAAAATAAAACAAACAAAAAAACCAAACCTCCAAGGGTTTCAGAGAACTGTCCAAATGAGCTTCTTTAATGTGGGTTTATTTTATGTTTTACTTTTTTTGTGGAGCTGGTGATGGAACCCAGGGCCTTGTGCGTGCAGGTAGGTGTTCTTCCACTGAGCTACACCCCCAGCTCCAATGTAGGTTTATTAAGGTACAGGCATCAGAGAAATACAGTAATGATGTTCAGTGTCTTAGTTTCTCAGAGAATACCTGCTACTGGTTACTGAATGAAGATGTATGTGAATACAGCTCTTTCATCAAGCCATGTTAAGAAATTTGCATAAATGTACAGTTCTTCTCTCTTGGCTTTTATGTTTTGAAAATGTGGTTATTTTTCCTAACACAGTAACATGTAATGAGTTAAGTTCAATTCAATTACTAAATATTTAAATTTTTGTTTTAATTTCTACTTTTGTAAACACCAGTAGTTATAGCCCACACAAACAAAAATTACTATTGAAGAGCTTTTAAGGGTGTGCAGGATGAGGCAGGAGGATTAAGCCTAGCCTGGGGAACTTAGTGACCCTGACTCAAAAAAGGTGCTGGGGATGTAGATCAAATCGAAGGCTCTGTGTCCAATCGCAGTACTGGGGAGAAAAAGAGTATAGAGATCCCTATCCTTAGACCAAAAAATTTGAGAATACTACTACAGAGTAATAGTAGGACAGCAGTCAAAGGATGGAGTTTTACCATTAATTCTATCCCAGATATTTTGCCCTTAAGTCTAGTAAAAATTGCTACTAATTTGTCAATTGCCAAAAATATGGCTCTTCGGATGTCTTAGTTGCTGAAAACGAAGTTCTAGTGTCTTAGTTATTTAACAAAAGAACATTTAAAATCCATATTCTGAGTAGTTTATTATTTAAAACGTTTCAGAAATTGAATGTGGCATTTGGTAAGTCACTCTTACCTTTTCAATATCTGGATTATTGGCCAGTCTCAGCACTTTACATGCCTTTGCTAATCCAATCCCACGCAGTGATGAGAGATAGTCACAGCCAGAAAGAATACACATATAACGGAACTTCTCTTCTGTGAATACATCCCCAAGCTGTCTGCACATTCCTAGCCGAGACTGATCAATTTCTAGTCCATTTCCAAACTGGTCCATTTTTAAAATTACCTTCAAAAGGAGTAGAAATTTTTAATACTTAGTAGGATCACTCTGATTCAACATTATTTAATGCATCACAATAATTCTAAGAAATCTTTGTTCTTCACTGTATGACATTGAGATATAGGAGAGATAGAATGGCTGGATCTGACTATTAAATTTGCAAATAAATTAAATGGAAGCATAGGACAGAAGTAGACAAGGTACAGAGCCAGGACTCCATTGGACTGGCAATAAATAAACACTTAACTTGACCTCTCTACTTCTACCTTTGTCACAGGGCTGTCATGATGATCAAATAATAATGTATACAAAGAGCATTTCCTCTTACCTCCTTCTTTTACATTTTGAAGTAATCAATCTTTTCTTATTATTAAAGTAATATATATTTGTTATAGGAACTTTGGGATACACAGAATTCCAGAAGAAAAAGAAATTGTCCATAATTTCTCATTTATCACTGTTACCTGGGATTAACCTTTCAATATAGAATCCTCTAGTCATCTATGAATGATATAGACAATATAAATATCGCTATTAACAAAAATTAGATTAGCCTACAGTTTTGTATCTTAATTTTCCCCCTTAATATATCATGATCAAGGGCTGGGGATTTAGCTCAGTGGTTTCGCCACCTGCTGCGCAAGTGCAAGTTGATCCCTGAGTTTGATCCCTGGTACCAAAAAAAATATATTATGATCAAGTTTTCCATATAATTCTAAATAACTGAATAACACCCTCTTAGTAGACATGCTAGTTAATTTACCTAATTACCTAGTTGAAAAATGTAAGGTATATGGTATCTTTATCAAGAAGTAAAATTGGTAAGTCTACACTCTACTAAAGAATTTACAGGCTGGGGGTGTAGTTCAGTGGCAGAGAGCTTGTTAACAAACGGGCTTGATTTCCAGGACGCTCCTGCCCCACTAATTTGGATAGAACAACAAAACTAATCTTAAAGGCTTACTCTGAACGTGTCCAGATTGCACAAACATTATGAGCAAAACCTTTCATTTTAAATAATTATAAACATTATAAAAATTGGATATACTATATTATAGATGAAGACTGGAGATAGAAAATAAAGTAATTATTCCTGGAAAGAAAAAACTTCAGCTCTTCGATTTACACTACTTCTGTCAACATAGTAGTATGTAGTAGTTGCAGCTAAATACCTTCTTACAGCCAAAAGCTAGGAGATCAGAGTCCTCTGTGATTATAGCTTGTACAATACCAGCTTTGTTAAGATAGGCCAACTGCGCATCAGCTTCATAGGGAGCGACGAGGCAGTCTACCCCCAGAGTGCGGGCTGCCTGTGAGACAGATCACAGTGAGTGTCCAGTATGGCATCTAGAAAGTACTAAGCAACTTCCGGCTCAAACCCATTTTATTATTAGCCTCAATTTGCATATGCTAGTATTACTTAAAGAAATCAATTCCTTCGAAGTAGTTTTTCCACTTTTAGTTCTAGTATATTTTACACTAGGTACATAGTCACTAAGAAATCTTAAAACATCAGTTTATAAGTTGGGATAAGAGAAATATTGCTATATATTCAGAAGGTGGGAAAAAGCCTACAAGATACAAAATTATTTCAAATTAGAATGCTTCCATTTTAAGAATGGCTATGTTCCAAAAGTATACAAATTATATTTATTTACAGTTTTGCATATAATTTCCCCATTAAAAAAAACATGTCCCATTAAGCTACAAATGTCTATTAATACTGTGTTGATAAAATTCTAGATTCTACTCACCACATTTAAATGAATCCACTAAGAAAAGTACTTTACAATAACTGCCAAAAATAACAGTTCCCCATCCCAGGTAGCTGGTACACAAACTTCCTTGTTCTAAATCATGGGTCACAGCTTCCAATGCCCAAGAAGTTTGGGGAAGTTAAGAAATGGGGATAGAGGCATCAAGATCCACTGTACCATGTATAATATGCTATTTTTCTTTCTTTCTTTTTTGCCTAGGAAGTGTCCTACACTCATTCTTTGGCACTGATATTTGTGCCCGATCAGTTTCTTATCTACTACCCACAAAGGAATTCTCTCTTCCTGTGGCTATAGTGTACACATTCCTCTATCTTTTTTTTCCCCCCTGGTATGGGGGATCAAACTCAGACCTTGCTCTTGCCAGACAGGCTGGTGCTGCTAAGCTACATCCCTGGCACTATACACTTCCTTTACATATCACACACTCAGGGTAAGTGCTGAAGGCTATAGGAAGGTGGGGTGAGAATGAACAACCCAGGAATCTGTCCCTTCCAGCTCCATGGAACATGCCATAAATTTATTTAAAGCATTTACCTCAACCTCACTTGTCTCAGGGTTTCTCCCTTGGAAACTGCTGGATTCCTTTCCTCTAAGAGCATTGTTACCTTCTTCTCTGACATCCAACCTTTACTTGAGATCAGGCCTAGAATAATTATCCTCCCTTTTCTTCCCCTCCCATTAATAAGCAACTTAGAGTTAAATGAACTTAGCCATTTATTCTCTTCATATTTGCTTACTTTAATAACTTTGTGGGCCATAGCATGTGTGATATTGATAGAACGAGTAAAACATTCTCGGGCTTCTGAGACTTTCCCCTCACGAAGAAGCTGCTTTCCCTTAAGAAGATTGGATTGTCGCCTTCTGTAAGGGAAGAATATTTTAAAAATATGAAAACATATTTACATGGTTGAGTCAAAAAATTATTTAAAAAATATAATTCTACCAATTTTGCTAGAATGAAAGTTTGACTTATTTGAAAGTACACAGCGAGTCCTGTTAACCCAGATCCTTTGGGCTTCTTCTAGGTACAAAGAATGAAAGATTTATAACACATTCACATATACATGAGCACATACATAATTACTGTCAGACGCTTCCATAGCAGTGCTTTGTGTCAAAAGAAAATCCAGCAACTAAGCTAAGAAAATCCAGCAACTAGATTTTTATAGAAAAGTGATAATAATCTAACACAAGATTAAAGAAATCTTTCATATACTAATCTATAAAACAAGCTTCAAAAATTAAGATTTGAAAATTTTGGTATCATTGACATATAGCATCTGATCTTAGCACAATTTTAGAAATTAAGCAGAGGCAACTTACTCTCTTCTAGACCTCTCTACTTCCTTTTTAGAAGGTAAAGTACATCCATCAAATATAAGAATAGGCTTGATGCCATGAGACAGCAGCATATTTACAAATTTCATACAAAATCCTACATACCTAAGGGAAAAAAAAAAAAAAAACCACATTTAAGCACTTTGCATCTCTTAAGGTAGTATTTTTGCTCTCTTTAATACCAAATGAAACAATTTTGAAGATGATTTTTTGTTTCCATAGGAAATAGAAACTTTAACTTAGACTTGGGCTTAAATCCTGCCTTGGATAATTTTGGGCCTTGTGATAGTTGGTAAGCTACTTCTCCCTCCAAGTTTTGGTTTCCTTTGCTATTCTTTCTGGATTTGACATTTTGTTTCAAATCTCACTTTTATCTCTATTTTAAGAAAGCTTTGAAAATACTATATTATTATATTATATATATTATATATAGTGTTTCAAAAAGATTTTGAAACATTTCAAATCTATTGAAAAACTGAAAGAATACAATAAATATTTGATTTCTCCAACAATACCATACCACACCAAGAAACTGAACAGTGACTCAATATTATCTGATAGTCTACATTAAAATTTGTCCAGTATTCCCAATAATGTTTCTTATAACCAGTGATGTTGTAACCAATATTTAATAACCGGTTCTAGCAATAGGGGAGCCTGATGTCTATGAAGCGAATATTCTACAGTGGTGGATAAGCTACTGATGTGGGTGGAGTCAATGCATACTGAGCTGGAAAGAGGCAATGTGTGGTGAGCTAGGATGAGCTAGCTCTAGCACACCACTGCTACTTAGGTTTTTAAAACTCAGTATCCAATCAAGGATCATGTACTGCATTTAGTTTTTTATTCTGACAAGTCAATTAACAAAAGCAATTGAATTTTCATAAAGAAAAAAAAAACTTAGGTCAAAGATAGGAATAGAAAAACATAATCTTAAAAGATAGCCTTCTAAATCAAATGTAGTCATCCTAAAGACTCACTTTACCCTATTTGTCTGATTTTTGTAGACCAATGATGATGGACCTGTTTTGGTACAAAATAATGATTGGGACCTGCTGATTAAGAAATCTCAAGCAAAAATTATGAGAAGGCAAATAAGAAACTGTAATTAGTTTTACTGCATTTAATTAATTTTTTCCTTCCCAGTACTGGGGCTCGAACTCAGGACCTTGTGCTTGCCAGGCTGGCACGGCGTCACTGAGCTACATCCTCACCCCTACTGTAATTAATTTTAGAGATCTTTTTTCTTAACTAGATGATGCAATCATACCTAGTGCTTTCATTTTATATATTTCAAGACATCTTTCCAAGTTAGCACACATAGAACTATCTCAATATTTATGATGGCCATAAAGGATTATCATAAGCTTATCCAAACTTTCTGAGGTGGTGACCTTTTCTGACAATACCTCTATCCAAAGGTGAACGAGAGGAAAAAATCAATTATATGAAATGTGAGTTCTTAATAGCTAGAGGAAAGTTAAAATACTTAGCAGATACTTTCTTGAAAGTCCTAAAACATGTTAGTTCAGTTTACATTTGCCATGCACTTAACAGGATTTCATCTTTCATTTTTCTAATAGAGGATATTGCCTGTATTTTGAACAACGCTTCCAATTAAAAAATTAAAATCAAGTTTTCTAAAAAATTAAAGTTTTTCTCCCCAGATAAACTATTCAGAGAAACACTGAAAATAGCAATGAAAAACTTATAGTCCTGGGCCGGGGATTTAACTCAGTGGTTTCGCCGCCGGCTGCGCAAGCGCAAGGACCCGAGTTGATCCCCGGTACCAAAAAAAAAAAACAAATTATAGCCCTTAATTACAACAACTGCAACTGTTTAAATTGCTGATGGAAAAATAAGCGCTTTCAAAAAATGATCTCTTGGATAGTGAATATAGCTAATTGGTAAAGTGTGTACTTCGCATGCGAGCGCATGCAAGCGCATGTTTCTTTAGATCTCACGTGTATTGTTTTTATAGGTAACTTTTGGTTGCATTAACTTGATAGGCTCAAAAGTACCAAACAATCAGCATTCAACACCATTTACCATTGTGCCTTATCCTTCAGTAAGTCATATTAAGATCTGTGAGCTTTTCCTCCAGGAGATAAATTATATATTGCGAACAAATAACAAAAAAAGAGGGAAAAACTCAACATGGGCCAAATCCTTTCCTGTTTAGAAATTATACTTGCTTCGTTTTTTAGTATTTCTATTTAAGAAACAGAAGACATCAGCCTACTGAACCTGCCACAAATGAGGTCAGAGTTGGGACTGGAGGTCAACATGGGTCACCACTTTTGGCTACAAATGAAATAAAAAGAAGTCAGAATATCTTGTCCCTTTGCCTCACTTTGTTAACAGAGATAGCAGTATGTTTTCTGTAGCCAAGAGTATAAAAGAAGTAAGCCATCCTTGATTTGGCAAAATTCTAAAACACATTCTCATTTCTTAACAAATTCTGACACTGAGTGAAAATAATCTTTCTGAAAAAAAAAGGCACTCTTAAGTCTCATTCTTAATTGTAAAAGAATTAACATCACATCCAAACTTACTTATCAGTAGGTTCACCTTTGGCTAGTTTTTCAGCACAAGCAATGGCTCCTTTGTGAAGCCAGCAATAGGTATCCACAGCTACTACCTGCCCTTTATATTTCCTCACGTGGATGGGTTCAGAAGCTTCTTTGATAAATTGTAGCAATCCTTGTATCCCCATAGTGCCAAATTAACTGCCTAATAGGAGAGGAAAAACAGTAACATTTAAAGCAAAATATATGTGCCAAAAAGCTTTCGAAAAATAAAGAGCGCTTGCAACCCAACACAGAATCTGTTCTTATTAGCTAACAAATGGAACTTCTCCCTGCCAATTTCCATAGCCTAGTATTTACATAAATCCTAGGGTTTACATTAACATACTACCTCTAATGCTCCTCGATAATTGTTTAATGTTTATTCTTTCCAAAGTGTTTTCACACTTAAAGAACTACAATGTTTTCCAAATTCTTTTTTTTTTTTTGGTACCGGGAATCGAACTTGGGATCTTGAGCTTGCAAGGCAGGCACTGGAATCACTGAGCTACATCCCTGGCCCTGTTTTCCAAATTCTTAACAGTTACAGGCACTGGAAGGTACTGAGACATGAAGGTCCTCCTTTCTTCAAAAAAAGCACTGTTCAAGTCAGGCGTGGTGGCTCACTCTGTAACCCCAGATACTCAAGAAGCTGAGGCAGGAGAACTGCAAGTTCCAGGTAAGCCTAGACAATTTAGCAAGACCTTGTCTTGAAATAAAAAATTAAAAGGGCTGGAGACACAGCTTTGTGGCAAATTGCCCCTGGGGTCAATCCCCAGTACCACACATACACCCAAAGACACTGTTAAAAATCTACAAAATTGTGCGTGTCTCATCACAGTGCCTCTACACATGAATGGGCCAACTTGCAAAGTCACACAGTAGAAACTCAAGTTTCAGGCATTTCAACTGAAAGATAAAGCTACTCCCAAGAAATGTGAAGCTATTCTTGCTGTGCAAATACAGCTTGAAGACAAATGCTTTAACTGCCCGGTCCCTTTCATCCAAGTTGTAGCCCCTAAGCCCTTTCTACACAAAAATTCAGGAGCTGACACTCTTCTCTGAAACTACTACTATTCTGAAATCCCTACTCATGACAAAAAAGACAGCACTGGTGAGCACTGAGTAGTGGCTTGACATTTAATAATAGGAGTCTCCCACTAATGATCAAGTTTGGAGGAATGAAAAGAAAGAGTACAGGATCTGAAGTCAGCCTTACCCTTCTGACACTATTAGAGTTCTGATGTTCTAGTCCAGCAGTTTGCAGAATTTCCACTCCACCCCAGTGACTATGCTGCACTAGTTCTGGGGTGTCGCAGGCAATTTTGGATGCAGGTGGTCTTCAAGCCACACTTTGAGAGAAACAGTCTACTATCACAGAGAAGAAAACAGACATAATATACATTTCCTGAAATTTTGATACGTTTCTTCTAGGCCAGGTAAATGTCCTCGAGTAAGCATCTCCTCTTTGGCAAAGCAGGAATTGGGTGTGTGCCATATGGCACATATCAACTCAGGAAGACACCCGGGCACTCGAGGAACAAGAACTGCAGCAACGTCCCGCGTTACTCCGGTCTTAGAGGGATGCGCAGGCGCAGCCACAAGCTCATTCCACACGCCTGTTTCCTTTGGCCTGTAGGTTAAGGAAAATATTTTTGTCACCATTTGAAAATGGGGAGGCTGCACGTAAGAACTGCACCGTCAGCTTCTGCAGAAAAACGTGAGATGAGGGACAACCCTGTGCCCCCTCCCACCGGGAACCGTCTGCAGCAAGCGCAGACTTCCTGCGCTCACCGATCTACAGGCCTGGTCTGGTCACTCGGGGAGACCATGCCAGACGCCCCTTTGCTCTCTAAAGACTGAGTCTCAAGAGGAGGGACGCGAGTGGCGCTAGGTTCGACCACCGCGGGGACCAGCGGGTACCCACCCTTTAGCTTCCGCACAGCCCGCTCGCAGGCAGCCGGAAGGAGACTCTGGTACCCACATGCGACACCCCTCACTCACTTGGACCAGAGCAACTAAGGCAGGCGTTGCACGCAGGCTCGGCAGCAGTTCCACGCCGAAGGCCGAACCTTTCAATTTGCGCGGGATAACTGAGACCCCGCCCAGCGGACGTGACGTAAGCGCCACGCAGCCACGTCGCCACGCTGCCGTACCGCCTTCTGCGGTCTTCCGCTCATCCGGGTCTTCAGCCCTTCGCCTGGCAGGCCTTGCTGTTCTTGGTGTCCTGCCTGTCGCCGCTGTACTGGAGCCCGGGACTGAGAGAGTCTCGGAAGTGGGGAGTTTTCGCTCTCCCCGTGGCTGCTGGGAGCTGTAGTTCTCTCCTGAGCTCCGCGTCAGTTCCAGGCGGTTGCAAAGAGCGCCGCCTCGCGTTTGTGTTTTTTTGCTTTTGAAATAAGAACGTGGTGGGGGGGGGAAGGCTGTTGAAATTAATCCCTTAGCCTCCCACCGACCTCATTCCTTCATTGTCTCTGAAACGTCTTGTCTCCCCCACAAATTGTTAAGCTGGGCCCTTTTCTCTGTTGCAATAGCGTTATTGATTGAAATCTGCCCTTACCACTTTAGTGTCTGGCTTCATGCATTTTTGACCTAAGTTGGGGAAATTTTTATCTTTGTAATAATATAGTGGGCTATGGAACACAGAGTTTATAAAGACATTTTGGACTTTAGGTGCCACTTGGGGCTGGATTTCCAGTCCTCATTAACCCCAGTCCTGGTAACTGTTCTGTCTCTGGACTATTGTGTTGAGAAAAATTGGCGGGGAGGGACCTTGGGCCAGACTACAAAGTATGTTTTGTGTCTAGAGGTAACAGAATGATAACTCTTGATTCATTCAATTAAAGAGGAAGAAGCACATATTTTAAAATTCTTCCTTTTTTGTTCCCAATATGCTGTGGTTCTTTTCTTTAATTCAGGTAGAAATCCTGAATATGCAAAGTGCAGCTGCCTTAGTGTTAACATATTTGAGCTTTGAGTACCAGTGACTCTCAGCTCTCAGTGATCCTCTTGGTCCCTCTCTTGGCAGCTGGAGCCAGCAGCTACTGGCAACTGTCTGGAACTCTTCATGCAACTGGAGTCACAGGTCTGGCTGCTGAATGCCCTCAGTGTTATCAGCCCTGGCTGCTGGCTGCTTTAAGTGTCTGCAGCTTTTAGTGTTTCCAGCTAAGTATAACTAGCTCAGCCTTATGTACTTGAGCTAGACATCAGAAATAGCCAAAATAAAGCCATTTGAAAGAAGCCTTCCTAGGCCTAACAGGGATGCTATAGCATAAGGGGAAGCATACATAGACTATCCCAACTGACTACAGGGAAGACTTTAGACCAAAAAAGTGGGCTCACACTTGTCCAGTGTCCTGCCAGCTATCCATGGACTTTCTTCTGAGTCATTCCTCATAGACCAGAGTGGGGATCTCTGACTTCAGAGTGGGGTTATCCAGAGAAGCTGTTGGGACAGAGGCATTTGGAATGGAAAAGTCTCCCAGAGAAGTTGTGGGGTATCTGATGTAGCTACTGCTGACAACGAAGTGTTTGGGGGTTATCAATGGCTGTCAAAGATGAAAGAATAGAAAGTACCTCTTGAGGAGCATTGGGTTCTCCTCTGTTTCATTTTCACCATCTTCTACATGTTTTTTCACATGCTTCTTTTAAAGTGTGTTCATAATCTGCATAATTAACATCTGTTATGCCAATATATTACCTTAAAAACTGTAGAAAAGGTGCCACTTTTGAGGAATATGTTTGGAGGAGCAGGACTGCCTCTTCCCCAGTTCTAGTCTTTAGAACCAAGACTAGAAAAGGAAAAGAGGAAAGTTGTTTTCCCTCTCGCTTCTTGTAGCTGTGGTTGACCTGATCTTGAACTTGGAGCTTGGAGCTGACTCTAGGGAAGGAGAGCGCTCAGTACCAAGCTGCAGTAGGTTAAAGAGAACTTAAATGAGGGCTGAATTTGTAAAGAAGCTGTTCTTAAAGTCATTAGTCTACCCAGTTCTAGTAGTAACCTTGGGTGTGTCAACCAAAAAAATGCCACAAGTGGGAATGTTATACAGAAACTAAAAAAGGCACCCATTCCAGCCACATCACATCCATCATGAAACTAAAGAGGTTTCTGCACTACAAACAGCCAGTCAGTTTCCTAACTAGGTTCTTGGCTGCATTGTTTAAAGATTAAAACTGAAAATGAAAGCACCAGTTAAAAAAGATGTCATTGAACAGAATAGTTTTACACATGGGAAAAAAAAGGCCATTTGAATCAATTTGTGCAATATTACCTCCACGTATTAGGTGTGCTTATGAATGGTAAGTGGTGTGGGGGACACAGAGCTAGCCTCTATCTTCAAGGAACTTAGGATCTTGTTCTGCAGACAAAACAGGTGTTCATGCAAAACTCAAATCACAAATCATGATGGTGTTACTGAATTCTGAAATAAATGGTACAGACCATAGATTCTGAGCTTAAGACTCAGTTCTGGTGTTACCAGTTCTCTGAAGTCTTCACTGAGCTGGATATTTGACATGCACCCAAGCATCCTGTGATGGTTCCTTCCTTCTGACACTTCTCAAGTTCGCACATTATTTTAATTGACTTTGTCCCCTAATAATCTGAAAACTTTTTGAGGTAGGGTTGCTAGATTTAGCAAATCTGAACAAGAATGTACAATAGAAACACTTTTAGTGCATGCCTAATGAAATATATAGGGCATATATTAAAAAAAATAAAATTCCATGTTTACCTGAAATTCAAATATAACTGGACCTTCAGCATTTTTATTTGTCAACCTTACCTTGATGGCAGGGTTTATGTCTATGAATTTTCTTATCACTGGTGTATTAGTCTGTTCTCTGTTACTATAAAGAAAAAAACTCTGAAGCTGAGTACTTTATAAAGAAAATAGGTATATTTAACCCACAGTTTTGGAGACTGAAAGTCTAAGTTGGAGCAGCCTCATCTGTTCAGCATCTGGTGAGGGCCTCATGGTACATGCCATCATGGTGGGAGCGCATACAAGAAAGAGAGAGCAGTCACGTGGGAGAACAGAAAGTATGTAAGGGTCCAAACTTACTTTTTATAACAACACACATTCAGGAACTAACCTGGATTCCACAAGAACTACATTAATCCCTTCTGAGAGTGGTGCCTCCATTAACTCAACATCTATGACTGCATGAGGCTTCAGGGGACATCTAGATACAAGCCAAGTCATCATTCAATTGTTTTTCTATTTTTAAATTAATTGAATGATTTTTGTTCATTGTCTTTAACATTTACTTCTATTATGGCAGGTGAAATTTATGGTGTTAATGTACAATTTTCTTTTTAAATAAATTTAAGTTGAAAAATAAGCTGATTTAGAGAAAACTTAGAGTCAATAAACAGACAGCTGTTTCTAATTAATGGCAAATATAAGTAAGCAAAATTTCCAAAACAGTTATTTCTCCCATTTAAAAATAATCCTTCAGGGGCCAGGGATTTAGCTCAGTGGTGCTGCTGCCTGCCTCGCAAGCGCAAAATCCCAAGTTCATCCCCGTACCAAAAAAACAAAACAAAACAAAATTTAAAACACCCCAGAAACCTTCAGCTATCATCCCATTTCTCTGTTCTTCTTATAGTAAAACATTTTCAAAGAATTGTCTGTATATTTGCTGTCACAAATTCTTTCACTTCATTCATAGGTAGATACAGAAATGCTGGGAATTGAAACCAGAGTCTTATGCTGGCAAGTGCTCTGCTACTGAATTGTATCCCCACTGTGTGTATAAAAAATTGAGGCAAAACATACATACTGCAAGGTAAACACTAATCCTATGTGAGTTATCACAAAAAGAACATATTAACTCCATCCAATCCTCCCAGATAATTCCTTGTTTCTCCTTTCTGATAACACAAAGCTCTGTCCTCCTATACATTGTCTTGTTACTGCATACATTAGTTTTGCTTTGTGTGTAAAATTTATATAGATGGAATCATGCAGTTTGTATTCTTTAGCATTTGACCTCTTTTACTCAATATTGCCTTTGCGAGATTCATCCATGTTATCTTATAATTTTTTTCATTCTTTCCTATGTAGAATTCCATTACACAAATGTACTACAATCCATTTATTCTACTATTGATAGTTGTCTGTTTCTAGATCTTAGCAACTATTAATGATGCTTCTATGAACATTCTTGTGACTTCAAGTGCATGTGACTTCAACTCCTCATACTCTTGCCCACTCTACTTTAGCTATGCTAGCCTCCTTGCTATTCCTTGAGGATTCCAGGTACATTTTTAACTCAAGGCTTTTGCATATTCTATTCCTTCTTTCCAGAATGCTTATCTACTAGATATCTACATGGATCTGTCCTTTACTTCACTCAGCCCTTTGCTATTAGGCTTCTCCTCAGTGAAGCACTCTTCTATCATGTCATTTAAATTGCAAATTCTACCCCTACCTTAAGACATCCAATTTTCTATTCTTCAATTTATTTTTCTCCATGTTACTTACCACAATTTAACATATTATATATTTTAGTTATTTGTTTTTTACAGTCTTGCACTCCACAACAATGAAAGCTTTCTAAGAAAAGATTTTTATCTGTCTTCTATACCAATGCCTGGCACATAGTAGATTCCCAGCAAATACTGATTGAATGAATGAATGTTGAAATTAGTTAACAGTCTGAATCTAAAATAGTAACTGACAGTTTTAAGGCTTATGCATTTGGGTGATGTAGCTATTTGCTAAGCTGTTTTCCATAAATTTTAGAGAAACTGGCATAGATATGTATGTAGCATAGCTCTCTTGTAGGATATTGAAATATTAGTATCAGTATCTATCTATCTATCTATCTATCTATCTATCTATCTATCTAATAAGCTTTACTATGAAAATCCTGAATTATAATGCCTAGGAAGGACTTAATACGTTTCAGATTTATTATATATATGTTTCACATACTTTACCTATTCAGCACTCATATCACTATTCTGAGGTTGGTATACTTATTATCCCCATTTTACAAATGAGACAGCTGAAATACAAAGAGATCTGAACCCCATGTAGTTTCACCCTAGATTTTGTGCTTTCAACTATTATCCTTGGACAGTACATAGGTATTAATAATAGGTATTGTCCTTGCACTATTCCTAGGTATTAATAGAG